AGAAAGAGGAAGAGCTAGACTATAGCACTGCAGTCAAAAACAAGTATTTTGTCTCCTACTTCTGCCTCCTCACATATCAGCAACTCTGTATAATGAAAATCTAAATCATCTGTGTGTACACATAGCAACTGTTTATTTGCTGTTAGCTTTGAGGGCTCAGTGGGCGTTTGATGCATTTAGAGAAGAGATCAACCCTGAGAGCACCTAATCTCATAAGTACACAAACAGAAAATTGAAGCTGAAAATGCTTCTCTCTATATCTGAGGCAAAGGCCACCGATAAATATCCTTGAACTCTACCCCCCTCCAGCTCCAATATATATTATCAAATCAGGGACATAGGGCAGAGATGATGCCTTGGAAGGATTCTGCCTCCTGTGTACCAAGAAAGCTTACTAGGCCTGATTGGGGATTGATTGTGAATTCTAAAAATGGCACACCTTTTTGCCCTGAAGTCGCCAAGTAGGATGCCTTCCACCTCCTATAAAATGTATTTACTTTTAGCTTCCCTGAAATTTCCATTTTTTCTTATCTCCTGGCTGCCTTGGGACCAAAATCAGTCTGGAAACTTCTCCACATTAGCACTGCTACTAATGAATGATGAATTAGAGAGTGGATGCTAGACTCTGAAGAAAATATTTGCTGTGATTTATACATGATTTTTTCCCAACCAATCAAGGAAGTAGGAATTTAAGAAGTTAGTCTTAGTAGAAAACTCCCTGGATCTTTATGGCTACTACCCCTGGAATGGATTAATGTCGTTCTCCTGTAGCCTCTTTGCCATTTCACTGAGAACAAGTTGTTGTAAAAATCCAAGCCTAAGCTTTGACCTGTATCAAGACATAATCTTTAACTTTCACTATAGCCATCCACATAGATGTAATATAGTCAAGAAAGTCTTTACCAGAACTGAACCAATGCAAGCACCATGATCTTGACCTAGTTCTATAACTGTGAACTAGACAAAGATATTTCTTTCACAAGGACCCTGGCTCAGGAATTTTGTCATAGAGACAAACCATTGACTTTATCACTGTAACATTCTGAAACTTCAGACCCTTCCTGATAGTGTAACTTATTTGAAACTTTATAAGCCTCTTCTTTCCAGAAGATTTCTTATTTCCTTATCCCACCAGAGATGTTGCTCATCTGGCCAAGATTTCATATTGTCACCTATTCTTATAAAACTTAGAAATCCTTTTCCAAGGGGCCAAAGGATTTCCATTTTGGTCTGTGACAGTTGATCTATATGCTCACTGCCTAGAAGACACTAGAAACTGTAAATTAATGGAAGCATCCTGGGACAAATGGTAATAAAGGATGACATTAGTGAGAGGGTGTGTATCAAGACAGATCTGACTAATCTAAAATTTGTCCCACATATATGAAAATTTCTGCGATCTGGAAACAAGGGCATTTCAACTGGATAGTTGCTGCTCATCTCATCTGGCCTTCTTTTAGGAAAGAAGGGTCCCACTAAATGAGCTCTCAGAAACATTCAAGGTAGTTTGTTTGACCATTCACAGGCTGTCTCCAACCTACCTTGCGTTTGGACTCTTGAGACCAGCCTTCTACCCTGATTGTCCCTACCCTCACCTTGCCTAAGACTAGCCGTCTTCTCTGACAAGTGTATCGTACACCACTAATTAAAGAGGTCTCTTTCTGCAACAGATGGAGGCTATTACAGAGTTCCGCAACTGGACACACACAGGGAATATACGTCTGAGAGATGCTCAGTCTTAGGTGGCACATCTACAGTAGAATCTCTAAACCTAAGGCTCATAGAACATAATAGAACAGGGAATGGAGAGAATATTAGTGAATCCCTCAACTCTCACCAGAGAAGCTTCCTTATACAACAAAATGTGATGCCCACAGAAGGCCACAACTGGCTGTTTAACAGAATAAGAGACAGCCAAATGTGTGTCCTAGGATAGGACTCCTACATTAAACCTTACCACCCGTGGTTCAGGGACCACTGAAGAAGAGGGGGAAGAAAGATAGTAAGAGTCAGGCTTGGTCCATGAATACAGGGAAACAGAGGCTATTGGGGCACTGGAAGCCTGTTCATGTGAACTTGCAGCAATGGTGGCACAAGACCTATGCCAACTCAGACAAGGGCCCAACCTGGATCAAGGGAAATGGGTGGTGGGCCTCAGTCATAGCCTGGAAACTTTTGGCAACTGATTGCTGCTGGATGAGGGAGAGTAGATCTTTGAGATCTCTAGATAGGCTGACTAGACTCCAGTGGATGAACTCACACCTAAGGACATCTGGATACAAATACTTGACTACATAGGAATTAACATATATGACAGAATACAGGAGGTTCAGTGGACGGGGGAGCTAATAGGTGATATAGATTGGGGAGGGTGTCTAAATTTGATTACTTGCTACTGTATGAAATGCACAAAAACTCAATAAAAATATTAAAGGAAAAAAAAAAACCATTCAAGTTAGACCAGATGAGTAGCCTTTCACCGCTTATGGTGTCCTCGAGGTGAAAAAGATCTCAGAGTCAGAAAGGACTTGTGTTTTGGCACCCAACTTACCCCAGTAGGTAGGGAGCATTAAGGTGAGCCAATCGTGGGACAAATTATGCAGTCTCTGAGGTCCTCCTTTCACTCATTCTACCTGAAACCTGACCCATGATTCTTTCTTCTACACACAATAGCACCTACTCTAGGAAACAGAGCAAAGAAAATTAGGCTATCTTAACATTTATGCCAAAACAAGAATTGACTGGAATGCAGTCAGATACAGGAAAGGAGGATTTAAATTAAAGCAGAAAATTGGGTTATGTCCCTCTTTGAATATAAGCTTGTATAGGGCTGGTTACTTCATAAAGATAAAAGTTCCTTTAAAACTTTCCCCTTTCCCTAGAACTCAGGTAGAATCATCCATCCTCTACCTACAACTAATTACTATGAAAAGAAAGTCATTCAAAACATTTTTTTCAAATTAGTCCCTACCTTTTAGCTCTCTCCTGTAGCACTCTAGACTAGAATGCAGCTACTTTGCTGTGTTTAGGTATCTGGGCCTGAAAGAGTAGCCAAACATATATTTTTCAGAGGCACCGTGAAAGGTAATGATAGTTTGGTAGTCTATAAGAACTCATTGAGCTATTATTTTCCATTTACCTTCACATCACCAAGCACCATTCTTTGCCCTCCCCTACCATGCTTTATACCAAAGAAGGTTGGTTTCAATGGACCGTAGCAAAAATTTCTTTGCCATCTGGCATCTGCTGTGTCTGGCTAATGGTGAGTGCTGGAGGAACATCAGAGTGAGATATATCTATCATCTGTGTAATTGTTTACTGTGCTACATTTGGGTAGAGGCCACAACAATCAAGGAGCCTCTCTTCGACTACTACAGTTATTACAGTGTTCCAATAATTTCTTCCCTTTGTTCCTTCAGTCTTAGATATTCTGCCTACTGATGCCTTTTCTGCTCCAACATTGTCACTTCTCATTTTACACTTGTTTCAATACTCACTCTGTCCCTATGATTTTGCTTATACTGCTCCTGTGCAATTTTTACCTTTTTTATTTTTCATTTTTATTTTATGTGTCTGAGTCTTATATCTGCATGTATGTAAGTGCAGCCATGTCATGCAATGTCCAGGAGGAAAAAGAGGTTATTGGATCCCCTGGAACTTCAGTTAAGGACAGCTGTTAGATACCATGTGGATTCTGGGATTTATATCCAGGTCGTCTTCAAGAGTAGCCAGTACTCTTAACTGCTGTGCCATCTCTCCAACCCCAATTTTTACCATTCTGATTAGCTAGCCCTATTCATGACTCATGCCCATTGTGTTGGTTTGAATCAGAATGTCCCCCAAAGGCTCAAACATTTGAACACTTGGTCGCCCATTGGTGGTGCTGTTTGGGGGTGGTTTAAGAATTATGTCCTAACTGGAGGAAGCATGTCACTGAGGACAGGCTTTGAGAGCTCACAGCTTGGCTCCACTTGCAGTTTCCCCTCTCAGTTTGAAGATGTGAACTCCTAGCATTCAACTCCTGCCACATGTGTGTTGCTTGCTACCGTGCATCCCCATTATGATGGACTCTTATCCCCCTAGTAGCATAAGCCCAAAGAAACTCTTCCTTCTGTAAATTGCCTTGGTCATGTTGTTTTATCAAAGCAACAAAGAAGTAATGAATACACCCATCTTGGTTATTCCCTTGTCTCAAAAACTTTTCCATGAGCCCTCAAGCCACCATGATAGATTTGTAGCTATTCTATGATTGTTTAGGTTTCCATCGTCACCTTCCTAGCATTTAATATGCTCACAATTATTACTGATGTACCTGTTAATAACTGATTAGTATACCTTTTGGGATGAGAAGCTGTGTATTCATCATTTAACCCTATTACTTGGTATACAATGTGAACTATTTGAGAAATGTTTCCTAAATTTATTTAAATGAATTAATTGACTATAAATGGAGCATATGGTTGAATTCACTTATATGCATAAGGTAAATATAAGACCTTGACTCTTTGTGAGATGGCTCATCAAGCCAGTTTTGTCTGTTTTTTCCCTCTAGGAGGGCTGCACCAAATGCATGCTGGCATGATTAAGAATAGAAACAGATGAGCTGGACTTTTGGATCACGGGCCCTCCCCAATCCCTAAAGCTGGAGTTATGGAACAACAGAACTGCCCTGAATTAACTGAGGGAAGCAATGAGACTAATTTTTCCCCAGGAGACAACAAGTTCTTCTGCACCATCCGTCAGCCTTGATCACAGATGGGATGGAGGCCAGGCCTAAAAATATTTTAGCTGTAGGTGACATCAGGGCTGTGTACTTTCATGTCTAACTCACCCCAGATGGAGGCAATATCATTTGATGAGAAGTCATTAAAACAGGCAGAGAAACTTCTATCACCCTAGAGGTGACTACAGGGGCAAAATGTCACAGCAGATTTCTTAGTCAGTTATAATGAGGTCTGATAAAAATTTCAATAAGGATCCAGCAAAACATCTTTGTCATCACTGTGATTTTGTATTTATTGAACGACTAACAAATATTATACTCAGAATATTTGATAAAGAGCATTTCTGTATCTTAAGAGATTAGGGAATACTTGTCACTATATTTTGATGTCAGTCACCCAGAAAGAACAAAAAATCAACTCCTATAAATGTTCTAAAGCACAATGTGGAAGGGAACCCAGAATATATACAAGCAAACTTCGTTAATGTTTTCTCCAGTAGGATGTATCCTTCTGCCAAGCTTTCCCATGACTGAAAAGAAAAACAGGAAAAGGTATAAGCCTGAGAAAGGCACACAAAAATTGAGCTGTGGTATCCCAGATGTGTTTGGGGATGGGCAATAAATGCTAGGGGGAGAGCTATGTAAATGAATTGGTAGGAACCAGCACTGTGCATCTCCTAGTACTTCTGAGTACAACTGTTTTTAAATCAGCCTTCAGGCTTTAAATTAAGTTGGAAATAAAAGTTATAGAACTCTAAGGAGCTTCTTGGTTATACAGATATCTTTTAATTAAGGATATTATTTTGCAGAAAGCAACAAACTGTGACTTCGGTGGTCAATGAAAACTTTTGTTGGGTGAATGCTTGAGTGAATCATTGCTCTAGATGAATTTTGTAAATAACCATGAACCTATTGCTTTCTTGGAAGTGAAAATGAACAAGTGGTTAAAAAGCATGCAAACCCTAGACTAGATTACTAGCAGCAGGTGCCTTGGCCTAGTTCCTCTTTTCAGGACTCCTTTCCCTCACTTTCCAGCCCTTTGCAGTTAATTTTCTTTCAAAGCTTAAGGCTTAAGGCAGTGGTCAAGCTCCATGGCATACGAATTGGTGTTTCTCATGATGCTCTCCACCAACATGGCAGGCTTGGGATTTCTTCCAGCAAAGCAAGAGAGCCAGGTGCAGATCAACATGGCTACAGCTGCTCCTCCTCCGGCGCAGTAATAGGCCCAGCCAAGCTGACAGGTACCTGTGGAAACAGGGATAGAGACACAAACACTGATTTGTCTTCTCATATATCCTTTTGATAAAAAACTATAGAAATTAAATCTGTAAGCATAGTCTTGATACATCCTCTTTGTGATAGGATGGTTAATGTAAAAACTGGGAGTAGTGATGTAAGCTGGGTTTCTTCTTTCCTCCTTTCCTCCTTCGGTGATAGCTAGTCTCAGCTTTAGCAAGACATTATAAAATTATAATATTTTCCTATTAGAGTGGTAGTCTGGGATTTTGTGGGTGGTCACACTGTAGTAATTTGAATTGCAGTGATTACAAGAACAAGTTTATAGATCATCAACATTTTAGTAAGTTTTTACATATTTATTTTATTGATTATCATAGAAACTCCATGAGATATGTGTTCTTTTGAAATTATTTTTATTTTTATGTGTATGAGTCTTTTTTCCTGCATTTATATAATGGCAATCATATGTTCATTGTCTATGGAGACCAGAAGAGGGTGTCCACTCCCCTTAGAGCTGGAGTGATAGAATGATATTAGCTGTCATGTGGGTACTGGAAACCAAACCTAGATCCTCTGCAAGAGCAGCTGCTGCTCTGAACCATGGAGCCATCTCTCCAGTCCCTTCCTTCCTTCTTTCCTTCCTTCTTTCTGTTCTTCTTTCCTTCCTTTCTTTTAAAGTAGAGGTCGTTATTCTTGTTATCTTATAAAAGATGTGGCAACCAAGGCATAAACTGTGAATATAGCTAGAAAATGGTAGGGTTTGAATGTGAACCCTTTTTAATGCTAATTCGCAAGTTCTATATATTTAATCAATGAGATATACGGCCACATATGATTTTCTTCTTCAAAAAAAGCTTTATTTCCTAGTTGTCAGAAGATTAGGCAGACAAAATTAAATCCTTTCCATCTTACTATATGTCTCTGTTCTAACCTGGCCTTTTAACACTTAGAAAAAAGTATATATAGAAAGAAAAGGGAAGGTTCTAAGAGGGTAGTTTTAATTTGAAAGGTAAAGAGAAATGTCACTTGCACAAACACATCCACTTCACCTCCTATCGTTTTGTTAAAAGTAGGTTCATTTGTTTAACAACTTTAAGGTTTTAGTAAAATTTCAGAAAACATTAATGCCCAGAGAAAGATTAGCTGCTGTTTTATGAGGTATCAGACTCACTAACTGCTAAAATAAATGCTTCAGCAAACAGTACTCCAGAAGTTGTGGTAGGTGTATAATTATATAAAATTGCAGCAAAGTCCTGAGGAGACCGAGAGGCAGTAATCTTTAGCTACCTTCCAGTCCTGCAGAAAGTTAGTGTGATTGCATCAAGTCAGGGTTGCCAAGACTGACACTTATTGCAATTTATATTTTAAAGACTACATTAAGTCAAATAACTGATTGTTTTTGTTCAAATGGTACCAAGTGAATCTTATTTTTTCACATTTAAAAAGAATTAGATTATGTGCCATGGAAAGAGTAAAAGATGGCCTCAAGATACATTGTTTTTTTTTTCTGTTCAAGTCATCTAATTTATACTAAATTTCCCACCTCAATAGTCTTTCTACTACCAAGTCATCACTCATGCTGGCTCTACTGTCCCAAAACACCTTCTCTCCTCTTGTATACTGATTCATGTCTTCCATAGAATAGTTATTCAGGATTTAGTGCCTGATGGAAGCCTTCCTTGATTCACTATAGTGGGCTGAAGTCATCCCAACCAAGTAGATATATAGGAATTTACCTGTGCATCTCATACATGGCTAGATCTGTTGGGAAACATTGGGAGGAAAATTTGTGTTTCATATCCTTTTTTCTCACACATCTTACCTTCACAGTAGAGGTGGTTTGGCTTCCTTTTTGCTGATATTTCATATGCTTTGTCCATAGTGGGTACCATTTTAATATACAGAATCTGAACTAATAATAGTACTTTGAAGCTTGGTGTTCTTGCATTTTCAAACTTCAACACAGAACATTTTTGTCTAAATTTTCAATTGAAGTTGAAAATGCAACTGAAGTAGTATTCTATTGACTTCTGACATCTCCTATGGCCTCTTTAGTATAAAGCCTATACATGTTGTGTTCCTCTGCCTAAAATGCTTCTTTCAGGTACATATATGTATACACTGGCCATCACACTCTGCTTAGTCAATGTTTAATCATTCTTAAGAGTTCCTTACTTCCTCTCTGAACTTCCGCTTGCTTACTTATGTCATAGCCCTCATGAGAAGCTCTGTTATTACCATCCTTCTTTCCTTTTGTGCTTAAATATCCAGCTCCTTACTGCCAAGTGCCATGTGCCAGTCATTCCAATGAGCCAATACTCAACAATCACAATCACAATCAAAACCAGAAGAAAATAGCCATCAAAGTCTCAGTGAGAAAGGACACAGGATTTTAACACTTAAATTTTTAAGTAGCATACAATATAATGAGAATCATATGTATCGTTATATTTTATTCTAATTTGTCACCATGCTCCGTTGCCCTTCCTGTTGCCCCTGACTCAAGAAGGGACAGGTTTTTATTTGTTTTATTTTGAAATTATTTTTATTGAATTTTTGTGGTTTCCATACAATATGTTTTGACTGTTTCAGATTCTGTCCCCTTTCTGCACCTCCTCTTATTGAGAGCCTATGGTATTTAATTGGTAAGAGACATTTTTGATAGTGAAATCTCCTTAAAGAAAGGAAAGCAGCCATCTCTAAAGTGGCTTCAACAGGAAAAGCAATGGTGAAATGTGCAAAGATATTTGGCCGTCAGTTTTGAAATCAGCAGCAAATATTTCTATACCACTTGCTATTTTATCATTCTATAGACATGAGATGAGAGAGAGAAAGAAAGAGATAATTTTCACTAATACATTTATTCACTCAGAGCAAATGCTTTGGCATTATAGTGAAAACCAGAGATGGGTAAACCTTCTGAAATCGTTGGGAAGAAAATTTAAACTTCGTTCTATCCATTTCACAGACTGAAATATAAATTTCAGAAATAAACCTTAGGAATTATCTCAGATGAAGAGTGGTAAAGGCAGGGATCCAGACTATTTCATTAAAGCCCAGTCTGGTATTATGTCCTCTAATAGTGCTCTCATGCCTAACCTCAATCCCTCACAAATTTACCTCTTATATGACCCTTCACTGATAGCTCTAAAAAGGAGACCACTGAATCAATTTGCATCAAACTCCCAGTGAGCCTTCCCTCTAACTTCTCCAACCAAAATATTGTCATATTGCAGAACAGGCAGGAGCCATCCCTGAGGTGAATCCTTGCTAAGCAACTTCATGTCCCTCAGCATATTCCCAACCTCGTCTAGAAAGGGCATCAATTTTTTCTTTCTGTTTCTTTGACTGACCTGTTAGGTCATCTCCTCATTAGAATAGCAGGGATGTTTTTAGGTACATGCACTCTGGGACCAGGGAAAGACTTGTTTCTCTAAATGAAAAGAATATACCCATAGCATGTCATTACACCAAAGCCCTGAGAAGGAAGCTGTTGACATAGTGGATAGCTCTACTGGCTAAAAATGATATTAATAAATGCCCCAGCAACCCTTACAGAAGTCAAAATCAGTTACCAGTGATCTGAAAGGCAAAGTCAAAGTGTTCCCATTTCCATCTCGTACTTTCTGAGTTTCCTCTCACAAGCACTATGGTTAGACCACTAAAGAGCATCTAAGTCCAGTTCACTGCTGTCCAAGAAGCCGAAGAGAATGAGAAAAAATATATATATATATATATACTTTTCATTCTACACTCTCCTCACATTCCTATCAGATGTCTGTTTGCAGGAATAAAGAAGTTATGTGACTGACGTTGGACGAAAGAAAAAAAATGTATCTTTTTAGAAATATCTATCATTCCACTCTACGAATCACTGTCAGTCACTCCACCAAATGCTCAGACACTGATAAAAGGGTCCAATATGGAATGATGTAAAAACAAGAGCAAAGTCAATGAGTGAAGCTTCCTCATGCAAGAGAAGGCAATTAACACAGAAAGCCACAACTGACAAAAATGTAAAGAAGAAACTGCATAGTTCTTGTCCCTAGATAGGACTCCTATATTAAACTTCTACTACATAGGGCTCAGGGACCATTGCAGAAGATGGGGTGGAAAGGTTGTAAGAGTCAGGAGTGGTGATGACCACAAGGAAGCAAAGGTTTCCAGACTTCTGGGAACTTTCTCACATAAACTTACAGCAATGGTGATAGCATGCACAAAACCCATGCAAACTCAAACCACTCAAAAACCCAGCATAGCGGATGGTGGTGCATGCCTATAATCCCAGCACTCAGGAGGCAGAGGCAGGCAGATCTCTGTGAGTTCAAGGCCAGCCTTCTCTACATAGCGAGTTCCAGGCCAGCTGGGGATACAGGAAGACTCTCTCAAAAAAAGACCATAAAACAAAAACCCAGCATAGAACTGGGGAAACAGACAAGAAGCCCCGACCTTAACTGATCAACTATTGGCAAGTGATCACTACTGAGTGAAGGAGAGATGGCCTTCTTTAAGGGAGTGAGGCTAGATAGACTGACCAGGCTCCAGTGGATGAACTCACAATGAGGGTCATCTGGAAACACAAACTTTCCTCAATAGGCCTTAACATATATGACAAAATGTATGAGATCTGGTGGAGGGGTTATGGGAAGGTGTAAATAGGGGAGAGGGTCTAAATATGATTAAGATGTATTGTATGAAATGCACAAAAAATTGATTAAAATGTATATTGAAAAAAATACCAAAAATGTTAGACACTGTTGATAAAAGGCCCACTTAATGGAAACGAATTCATTTGTGATACTGCAAATATAGCCAAATACACAGAACTGGAAGAGAGGAAGTTACTTCTGTCACTTCCCTAGACCAGTGGAATATCTTTCTATATTCTGAATACATATCCTTACATTTACAGACAAGTGTACCTTTCACCACTCATCAAAGAAACTTCTTTTTTTAATATTTTATTATTTTTATTTTATGTGTATGAGTGTTATGCCTGCTTGTAG